ACCTCTTGGACTTTGCCCAGCGCAGGCACAGTCGCCTAGGTGTGAGGGTGATATTACTGCTGGTATTTCAGCAGTGCCACAAGGCTATGATCAGGGTCAGGGGCCCCACAAATGCATGGTGAGAGACAGTTCCTGCCCCAAGGTGCTTCCAGGCTAAGATGAAGACAGAACATAATAACTGGGTTCAACACACAATGAGAACGGAGGAGGAGGAGGGACTTCATTGGGAGTTAGGCACCTAAATGCCTGTGAGGATCTGAGGCAGTCAGATGCAATTGGATTTCTTTTAGTTCTTCTTTTTCTCTTATTATAAGTTCCGCTGCCTAGTTCCTTTCCTCATGTTTTTCCTTTGATTTATTTCAACAGCAGTAAATCTCTGCTCTTGCCTGCTTCTTGACAATTTTATTCCACTGTGTAACAAGGGAAAGTCACATATTCAAATGTCCGTGTTTCAGCGTTAGCCCACGCTCCGTTCCCCTTGTCCAGGTTGTGGGCCACATGCTGCCTCCCAGTCATCCCAGCTGGCTCTCTCGGGAGGGTGTTTGTGTGTATGGGGGAGGCTTCTCCTCCTGCAGCCCCTGCAGCCCCCTGAAAGGGAACCATCTTGGAGCAGGCAAGGGCATTTTGGAAGTGCTATGTGCCTTGGTAACTGTTATCTTTCCTTTACCCACAGTGCTTTGCAGTGTTAAACTGGCTGCACTTCTCTCCCTAATTGGGGCAGTGAGAAGAGAAGAAGAAGTCACCAAACTATTTAACTTGGGACAGCAGCAATCAAATATTTACCGAGCAGAGCTATTGCTTGTGTTTGCAGAATCCAGCATGGCCATAATGGATGTGAGGGAGCGTTTAATACACCAATCAATACAGTCTGCTCAGACTATGCCTCTCCTTTGATGTATTATTTAATTGCTTGTAAAAGGTGAAAGAGCTGTTTGTTCACCTCAGTCAATTGCAACACTGATTAGATTAGGTGGCCCTGGGATCCCAACATTGTTGAGGAAATGGCTCTCAAATGTCACTAGTCCTTTTTCTCTCAACTAAAAAGCAGAACCTCTTTCATACTACATGTTGTGAGCATGCCGGCTCTTGGCCCCACTGGGAACCCCTTCTAATCCGAGGAGGTGAAGGAGTGCCCCCCAGGTCAGGGATTAAGAACAATCAGCAAAGAAGGGAAGTGGGGACTCAGCAAATATGGAGAGTGACTTCCTGTGATGCACTGTACCTCAAGACAGTGCTCTGTAACTCCCACATTCACTCACCACTTGTATATGGTTCCGATATTTTGTACAAAAAATGCCTTGTCCAAATATGTATATCATTATTGTATATGGAGTTATGAGATTTTGGTATATGGTTGTTATTGAAATAGGTTGTGAGCCTCAAAGGAGGTGACCCACAGCCAGCAACCAGCCATTGACCAACAGGGGAATTGTAAACAAGAGAATTACAATTAAATCAGAGACATTTGCTCCAGCTACACACAATAGCACTTGCTTAACTCTGTGATTCAGCAAGGCCTCAGGACATGTGATGCTTGACTCCATGTTTGAGCCAATATTTTTTCAGGCACACGAACTGAGGATATTAAATAAGGGACAGGGGCACCATGAGATTCTCTCCTCCCTGTCCTATTCTGAAGGCAACAAGAACATTTGGAAGAAAAAGACATTGAAGTGGGGAGATTGGTCCCAGGCTAAGCAGAGAATTCTGCCTGTGTATTAAGAACTGATTACAATGCTTAGTGGGGTGAGAAAAACTGCTTGATTCAACTCTTGCTTGGTATGATAAAGTTTAGAATTTAGAATGTGTGTTTACTTTTTATTTCTTATGTAACATTCTTTGACCTTTATGCCTATCTCTTATAATCACTTAAAATCTATCTTTCTGTAGTTAATAAACATATTTTAATGTTTAATCTGAACCATTGAGTTTCTTCTAAGTGCTTGGGGGATCTGCTCAGGTTTCAAAGGCTGGTGTATGTCCACTATCCTCTGATGAACTAGCAAACTAATTAATGAACTTGCATTGTTCAAGAGAAGGTCATGAGCAGTGTAAGACGGGTACATTCTTGGGGTGCAAGGCTGGGGGGATTTGCTGGTGTTTCCCTGTGTATAATTCATGAGAGGCTTAGAGAGCATTCAGGCAATTTAGCTGGGTGTGTTTCTGCACGTTGTTGGCTGAGTGATAACAGCACCTGGAGGGGTTTGCTGCTTGTCACTGGCATAGCATTGTAAGAGACAACCCAAGCTGGAGAGTGAAGGCAGCATAGTGGTCCCACAGTTCCAGGTTGTATCCCAGGGGTCTGTCACACTTCCCCTCTGGTTTCTTTGGTCAGCATCCTCCCTTCTCTTCTGCACAGGGAGACTTCTCCAGACACTCGGCAATCCTGCTCCCAAACACAGTCCCTAGATTCTTGCCCCTCAGAGCCCCTGGGCCAATAAATGCCATTTAGGGAATGTCTGTTCTCTTCGTTAGCACAGAGAGACTGGGCTTGGTACAGGACCCTGTCACTTTGCATTGGGTGGCTGTTGTTTTATGTACAGATCTTACCTCAGTGTGGTTCACAGTGGACAAACCAGCAATCGAGAGAACACAGAGGACAGAATCCTCAGCGGGGCTGGACCCAACTTCTTGGGGTGGGGTGGGGACTGGACTGGCTACAGGACCGATGATGGCTGGAGCACCACCAGGGGGATTCCATGACCCCAAGGGAATCCCCAGCTGCTCCGGAGTCAAGGCAGCTTTCCAGCTGCACTGTGCTACCTGGATTGCTCTGGTTCTCCCAGATAGTTCCTTCAGTCCAGCTGCAGGGCTTCCCCACCCCTTGGGGAGCTCTGCGACATCTGCCACCTACGTCCTGCTCCTTAAGGGCTCTCCAGATGTTCCCGGGACAATTGCTTCTCTGCCCTGATTGACTCCCTTTGGGTTAGGCCATGCTAGTCATCTGGGGCCAGCATCTGCCCTCCTTGTGCAATGACTATCATTGCAGCTGACACACTGGGGATCGAACCAGGGACCCTCTCAGCAAAATGAGTGACACCCCTACTCCACAGATCAGCAGCTGTGCTGTGAAGGCTGGGGACAGACAGGCAGCAGAGCTGGCCTCGGAGCACTAGCTGGCTGGAGGGCTGGCAGAAAATCTTGTCTCTGCTGCCAGTTCTTCTGCAAATGGGCTGAGGGATGCCATTTGAGACAGGACAACATGGATACTTCAGGGGCAAGCCCAAGGAGCAGCTGGAGCATGTGGCTCCTGCAAGCCTGCCCCAGACATACAAACCAGCTACAGCCAAAGGGCAGGAGCTGCCGTACCTGGGAATCAGGGGCCGTCGAGGCCATTTGTGACTGAGGGACGTACGTCTGCTCCCACTGCCTGTTCTTTGCAATGACACTGAGGTCCTGTCCAGTCAGAACGCTGGGAGAGATCTGGGTATTGGAGCAATCGCTGGGTGAATTTCTGCCTCCCAAGAGAGTGTCAGAGGTCAGACCAACCTAGCAAAGAGGGGAGACCCCACCACAAGGACCTGAGTCTCTACTGCTTATGCAAAGGAGCTGGGCTCTCTCGCTAGTGTGGTAACAGAGAGTCTCGCTCTGTGGATCAGGCACAGAGGGGGACATGTGACGCACACTGACCGGTGAGTTACACGCATGCTGAGCAGTCCCATTGACTTCCGCAGAGAACCCATGGAGCACAGTACCGGTCACCACGAGTGGGCATCAGGGTCTGGCCCCTCGTGAGTGCTGTCCACGGTTTCATCACCATCAATGGCACAGCCATTCCTCCCTAACAAAGATGAACCCTCTATGTCAGGGCCGAAGTACCTTGGTGAAGTGCACAATCAGGGCAGCTCACACCTGCATACTCAAAGAAGGAGGAGTCCTACAGCCAGGAAAATGCCACTGATGGGGTTCACATGCAGATGGGGGTTTCAGGCGATGTATTGCTTGAAAGGTCACACTTTGGCTCCTCTGCAATGGGAGCTGCCTGCAGACACATGTCATGATCGATAACATTCTCTCTCAGCTAAACTACGCTTCATCTAGCTTGGGTCGAGCGCTTACCCCAGGGGTAAATCCCTCCTGAGAGAAACAAATCCAGGAAAGGTGAAGACGCCAGTGAAAGGGGAAGTCTAGATTGAGTTACATTTTGTTCATTGGCCCCAGGGGGATGTTGTTCAACCCACAAGAAAAGTAAATAAAGGCTGAGAAATCCCTTTGTCTGAATGCACAATGAAAGGAAAGAGAAACCCAATCTGTGTCTTTGGGGTCCCAAGCTAATTCAGGAAGACTCTAGTGTACAAGGCAGAGTTAGGATATGAAGAACTTAGTCTTGATTCTCCTCAGCTTTACACTGACTTCAGTGGAGTTACTCCTGATTTACACCAAAGCAAGAAGAGAATCAGGCACCCTGCATTTTGGGAACAGCATCAGCATGGAACTTGGAAAGTCTGAGGCGATCTCACAGCTGGTGTTTACTTCTCATTACTCACCTAGAACTCAAAACAATTCCTTTGAAATTACAGACACTAGCTGCATAAAGTAGAGAACTTCACGAAACGTATAGACTGACTATGTCATGATGGTTGCAAAACGCGCCAATGCCAGCTACTGCTGGGGAACGGGGAACGTAAAGAGTAGCCCAAGTGCATGCACGTCATTCACCACTGGAAAGGCCATTGGTAGCCAGTTTGCAATCCAAGTGCATGTGTTCACACCACTGCACCCATTTTGGGTTGCTAGGCAGAAGCGGTCCCCAGCAGACCCTGCTGATTTCATTCATGCACAAAGAATCGGATGCAAATATGTAGGCGCTATTGAAAATAAACAGCGCCACAGTCTAGATCTCAGTGCTGGGCTGTACGAGGAGTCGTAAGTGGGCCGTGTTCACGTGTCCATTTCCCACCTCTGAAGAAAGAGAGCTTATTTCTGCTCCAAGGTGGGTCCGATTCTGTGCACTGGGGTTAGTGTCACTCCAGATCCAGAAATGGAAAAAAGGGTCTCACCTGATACGTGTTGTCAAAACTGTCGTACATGAACCTTGTGATAAGGGACGTCTTCCCAACTGCAAGAGAAGAAGGAACAAGGGATTAGGTGAAGAAGTTCACAGTCAGGCCCTTCACTTTCTTTTAAAGATCACAGGCGAATAGGTGACAAGAACAGCTCATGCTAACCCCAGGCACGTCCCTGCACACCCACACAGCAGCGAGCAGCCCACTGACTGGTAAGAATATTCCTGCGGGTCAAGAGGAGTAGGCCTGGGCCCATTATTCTTCTGCTTTACATTCTTAGGGGGAAGTAAAACAGAGCATCCCTTTAAAGTCATACAGCTCACAATCCCCATCCATAGGCAGAGGGGGGGGTCACAGAATTTGTGAATATAAAGGCTGGTTTGGGGACAGTGGTGCTAGAAGAAAGGCATGTGTCCTAGATCTGTAGCTGTGGCCATGTAGCTGCTTGCAAGGTTTGGTTGGGCCAGTTCTGATAACATTAGCCAAAGCGCTAACTCCTGTGATGTCGGAGCATTATTGTTCTGCAAAGTAACAAGCCTGTTCTTAGGGTATTTCCGCCTGTGTGATATTGCCTCACTGCCAGCAGTGCACAAGGTCACTGGAATGGAAAGTAACCAAACTTTTCTCCCCTGGGGGCTGTGCACTTCACCCCACCAACCACAGAGGTTCAGTGCATGTCTGTTCAGCCTCAGTAAACCACTGCCACCCCTCTTTGTCAGCCAGCTGTACTCAGAGCGTGCCGCTGTCTTTACTCCACCCCTGATCTAGGTGTCATTTTCAGAGGATGCAACCACAGCTCTGGCTCTCCCCTCCCACACTCTCCCATGGCTGTATTAATACCCTTACGATAGTTGTGGGTTTTGTTTTGAAAGAACTTGGTCATGCTGGGCCAGGCCCTTGGGGGGTGAAAATCAGAGTATGCTGATTTACACCAGCTGAGGATCTGGCCTTCTCTATGTGATTGACTCCTCTTCCTTGATTGAAGAATAATGTACCCAATCTGGCATCGTTAGTGATTCTGATTAAATGACACAATGATAATTCCCTCTCCTATGCAGGGCTAGTTATTTTGAATGTCAAAATATTATTTTTCAGAGGGAATTAGGTCCCTAGCGTGCACTTATATGCAAAAGCCATTGCAGAATTCAGAATGGCATCTGTTGAGCAGGGACCCTTTCCAAGACAATCTCTCGATCTTTTAAGGTTCACCCATCATGATGCAAACCTCCCGCTGCAAGTGCCTGGAGTTGACAATGAACTTGGTCAGCTATTGGTGCAGGCATGACATTGTGTGGTGCAAAGCTGTGGGCCCATGCCACATGAAATATGGATTTAGCAGATGACACACGCAGGGCATGTGGAGCGTCTATGGTGCTGAGTATTGTGTAACTCAGAGACACTGGATGGATTGTTTTGTAACTCAGAAATTTAACACTCGGTTCCTGAGCCAATGGAAAGACTGCCATTGACTTCAGTGGTTTTAAGATTAGGCCCTAGATCTCCCCAATTTCCCGTTGCACCCCTCCCCAAAAGCACAGATTTGCTAGAGAAGGAGAACCATAGCAATGTTCTAGCCCCCAGAGAAAGCTACCCCCAAATTGCATTGGGCGAGCTGCTTGGCATTCATGCCTGAACTTCACAGCTTCTTTTCCACATCAGAGGGACAGCTGAAGCTCACTTGCTGCCCAGTCCTACATAACCTGGGCAGAGGCATGGGGATTTTCTCCTCTGTGACTGTTGCATGGCTGAGAGATCTGCCAGGCAAACTGGGTACACTGGGCCTGGAGCGAATGGGACATGCTGCATGCTCTGCACCAATGTGGTGGATGCCAAGTGAATAGAAACAATAACAGACCCACAATGGCAGGGTGGGGGCTCTCGGAGCCACATTTCACAACATGCTGTGGCCCCTCACAGCGCTCTGATGGCATAAAGGAGCATGGAGCCAGCCCCCAGCCAAGGCCTCTGGGGTCAGCAAGTCCCTGAGGTGAGATAGACATGCAGGGCTGCCCAGAGGATTCAGGGGGCCTGGGGTCTTCGGCGGCAGGGGGCCCCCGCGGCCGAATTGCTGCCAAAGACCCAGCACTTCGGCGGCGGGTCCCGGGGCAGAAAGACCCCCCGCCACGGGTCTTCAGGGCACTTCGGTGGCGGGTCCCGGAGCGGAAGGACCCCCCGCTGCTGAACTGCCGCCGAAGACCCGGAGCGGAAGAAGCTCTGGGGGCCCGGGCCCCACAAGAGTTTTCCGAGGCCCCCGGAGCGAGTGAAGGACCCCGCTCCAGGGGCCCCGAAAAAACTCTCGTGGAGGCCCCTGCGGGGCCCAGGGCCTGGGACAAAATTGCCCCACTCCCCCCCCCCCCCCCCGGGCCAGCCCTGTAGACATGCCACCACAGATCTCCACTGCCTCCTTTGCAAAGCTTGGTGTAAGGGGCATGCTGGGGGCCTGGTCAGAGTGCACTGTGATCCAGCTGATCTTGGGCTGTTAGCAACCAACATAAGGTAGAGCAGCCCTGAGGCAGGGCCTGGGATCCAGGAGGTGCAAAGGAAACTTAAGGTAAGCACCACCCTGCACCCAACCCCCTACAACAGCCCTGAGCCCCCTCCCACACCCAAACTGCCCCAGCAGTGGTCAGTGCTGCTGGCCCAGGGGCTGCCTGATCTGCTCGGGCAGCCCCGGAGCCAGCCACAGCGGCCGCTGCAGAAGTCACAGAGGTCCTCCATGACAGACACACAGCCTTACTCATGAGCAATCAATCACTGTTCCCTTCACTTTCCCCATGGCCAGAATACAGAGCTCTTTCTGCTACCCACACGCAGATCTAGCCTGGCCAAGGTCTGGTGCCTTACTGACCAAAGATGAATGGGAACAAAGGTTCTAGAGCAATAAGATTTCTATTGATTCACAGTCAGTGCTAACAATGGTGAAGTAAACAACAGTTCAGGCATAAGCCAAGCAGTTGCTGATATCCCATTAGACTCACATAGTCTGATTTGAAAACAACAACTAACATCCAAGCAAACATTATAACCCAAAAAGCATTCTGCAGACTCCAAGCCCAAATCCCACTGAAGCACACTAAAGACCTGTGGAGTTTAAAACACAAGGCACAAAGCAAGCTGAAAAGCAACCACACAAATATCAGATGGAGGCTCGAATCTGAGTTGTGGGCTCAGTCTTGGGATAATATTTAGATCTTCAGTTGATAAAACTGGAGCTATGGGTGTGACACTCTGTACCTTAGGGGGAACAGCCTGCACCCCTATGTTCATCCTTATAATATGATTGTGTGGTATCCAATGCAAAGTTTGTCATGTCGGGTGTCTCTAGAAGGCTCATGATGCATCGAGCAGTGCTGTTATAGTAATGTTATAGGTTGTAATTTTATTTATATAGTTATGAGGCTGAAAATTTGTCCTCATAGCTTAAAACAAGCCCAGGCAAAAACTCTCCAGGAGCAGAGGCCAAGGCAAAACTCTCCAAGAGCAGAGGGGCAGTTCACACCTCATCAGGACATGTATGGGACAAACCCAGCCCAGCCTCACAGGAACAGAGGACATTGGCCTAGGCAGCAACAAAGGATCTGTTGGATTCTCGAGTGAGTCACCCCCTCTTCCCTTGGTCAGTTTGGGACTACAATGAAGTAATGCTCACCTGACTCTGAAGGGTGGGGGCAAAGCCAAGAGGGAAGAAAGGACATGATAAAAGGGAGAGATGTTTGCCATGCTTTCTGGGCACGTCTACACTGGCAAAGTTACAGCGCTGGCAGTCGCAGCACCTCTCAGAGAGCACAGAAAGAAAACTGCTGTTGTGTGTTCACACTGACAGCTGCCTGCGCAATAGCATGTTCACACTTGCGGCACTTGCAGCGCTATTTGGAGCGGTGCACTCTGGGCAGCTATCCCACAGAGCACGACTTTCTCTTTTGCCGCTAAGACTTGTGGGAAGGTGGAGGAGGTCGCGTGGCATCCCGGGTCCAGTACCAATGCCCCGTGATGCATTGCTTCGCATCCCACAAACCCTGTGCTTCCATCCGCATTTGGTGCCATCTTTCAATGGTTTGTGTACTGCGCACCCTGCCTCTTTCAGGCTGCAGGAATGGATCCCAAACTGCTGACCAGTATGCTGCTCGCTTTGACCAACACATCATGAGTGGCAGTGGAGTTATTCCTTAAACTACAAAGTCAAGAGGAGTGTCGATCTCGCCACACGTAGTAGCTATGACAGGAGATTGCTTGTGGCTTTCACGGAGGTGCTGACCACAGTGGAATGCCGCTTTTGGGCTCGGGAAACAAGCACTGAGTGGTGGGATCACATCATGATGCATGTCTGGGATGACAAGCAGTGGCTGCAGAACTTTCACATTAGAAAAGTCACATTCATGGGACTATGAGATGAGCTCACCCCAGCCCTGGGGCGCAAGGACACGAAAATGAGAAGCACATGGCAATTGCACTGTGGAAGCTGGCTACTCCAGACTGCTACCAATCGGTCGCTAACCAGTTTGGAGTAGGAAAACTGTTGGGCTCATGTTGATGGACGTGTGCAGGGTCATTAATCGCATCCTGCTCTGAAAGACCATGACTCTGGGCAATGTGCGTGACATTGTGGATGGCTTTGCACAAATGGGCTTCCCTAACTGCGGAGGGGCGATAGATGGCATGCACATTCCAATTCTGGCACCAGACCACCTAGTCACCGAGTACATTAATCTCAAGGGGTATTTCTCAATGGTTCTCCAGGTGCTTGTGGATCACCGTGGACATTTCAAGGACATTAACGCAAGCTGGTCTGGAAAGGTGCATTATGTACGCATCTTTCGGAACACTGGCCTGTTCAAGAATCTGCAAGTAGGGACTTTCTTCCCGGACCAGAAGATTGCCATAGGGGAAGTCAAAATGCCCATTGTGATCCTGGGAGACCCCACCTACCCCTTAATGCCGTGGCTCATGAAGCCATACATGGGGCAACTTGACAGCAGCAAGGAGTGGTTCAACAACAGGCTGAGCAAGTGCAGAATGACTGTTGAGTGTGCATTTGGCCATTTAAAAGCCCGCT